GGTGTTGATGCTCTTAATATTCTGGAATCTGCAACTGATATGAATTGTTTTTAGCAACAAGAAAGGAGTGGAATGATTACCATTTTAATTTGGTTTAATACACTGTCCAAAGAACTAATGGTGATAAGAGTCAGACATGCTGAGAAGTGAATGAGCAACCCGGATGATAAAAAGTATTAAATAAAGAAGGCTGGGGTTTTCAAATAGCACCTAAGAGAATTAGGCACCTAGCTGCTCTGGAAATTCAATGAGAGTTGACTTCAGACTCTCTTGAAAATCCCAGACTAAATTTTAAAAGCCCAGTTAAACAGTAGACTACTCAGGATGAGTTAGAGCAGCTTTATGCCACTTTGGTACCGTCTCTCCTGAGCTATGCTGTGTGCTCTTAGGCTACAGTTGAGTATCCAGCCCTGAACCTTTTATCAGCTGCTTAGCTTCCTAAATGTAGGTACCAAGTTACCAACTGCATAATAGGGACTAGACTTAAATTGTACTTGAGTTCGTATGGATTAACACTTGACCATTCTCAATTTGTGCACAGAAAAAAGTTAATGATGTATAATGTGGGCTAACTGTTTATTATTAGGACAAAACAAATAGTCAAACACAATAGCAACACTAGACACTGAAAATATATCTGTCTCAGTTAACTGAGAATAAATGTAACACAACCTCAGCGAATGAATGTTAGCATTATCACTTAGTGGATAAAGCCGTTATACTGCCACCCAGTGGTTAACACATATATGAATTAATTTATTTTTGCCATCTGTGATAGGAAAGCCCTTTGTCCACCATTTTATCTGAGTAACTGTTGTATCTGTAGTTTTCATAGGCAGGGTACCTAACTATCATCATGGCAAGTAAATTAGATCAGAGTATTTTTCTCAGGGAATACTTATTTATGGGATGTACTATGCCATATCACTGTGAGCCCATATTATCCTGCTGGTCTGAAAAGCCTGAAGTTGTGCTGCCAAAAGATATTGACACTCAAATGTGGCGAGCTGTCTGGCTCAAAGGAAAAATGAGCCAATTCTGAAATACTCCCTCTCAGTAACACTTCAGCTTCTGACTTGGTTACCCCCATCCTTTATTGGTCATCCAAAACCATAAATGTTCCAGTAAAATTTATGAGAAGCCTAACACCCACTTAGAATACAATCCTAGCATATATATTAAGCATATTTTTAACATGTGAAAAAGCTTCTCAGAATAAGTTTATTTTTCTCAGGGTATTTCTCCTGTGAGCCCCAATAAAAATCTTTAAATCTTTAACTCAGTGCTAAATAGGATCCTGGACCTGACAAGACATAAATACATGTAATTTTACTCACATGAGTAGGCTCCTTAAATAAATAATATAATATAAAATATAATATAAAATATAATATAATATAATATAATATAATGTATCACGCATATCAAACTTCCCCTATTGGTGTCCAGTCCATAGATCAATTATTGGGCCAGTCAAATTTACATACAATAAAGTAGCAGCCAAAAACTGACTAATTGCATGTATATTTGGACAGGACTACCAACTCCACTTTCAACTTAGCTAATTTGATCTACGGTGATCAGAATGTATATAAAGAATTCCTTGCAGTGACTAGCAACTTACTGTCTGGCACAAGGCAATGTAGAATTTTAAATTTCAACTTGTGCTTAATGTAAATACACCTCTACCTCAATATAACGCTGTCCTCGGGAGCCAAAAAATCTTACCGCGTTATAGGTGAAACTGCGTTATATCGAACTTGCTTTGATCCACCGGAGTGCACAGCCCTGCCCCCCTGGAGCACTGCTTTACCGCATTATACCCAAATTCGTGTTATATCGGGTCGCGTTATCTCGGGGTAGAGGTGTACATCTCTGTGGAGTTACTATCTGCCTTCTTGAAAGAGAGAGAGTTAAAAACATGACAGAATGTTAACATACAGTCTCTGTTATGCCAGTTATAGCCTTTGCAAGAAGAGTGTAAATTAGATAAGAATCCATTATTTAGCTATCTATCAATATACTCTATTACGCAGAAACTTCACTTAGTTACCCTGGCATTATTTTGTTGGTGAGGCCAACATAAGAGTACCATATCCCAGAAAACTAACATGTCACCATCACTAAGCAGTGGATTACAGGATTATTTTAATATGATCCTTCTGGGAAATTCCTGTAATAGTTCAGGAGGCCAGGGAGTGACTCTGAATTTAGTTGGAATTGAGGCAATTCTGTTTTACCTGTAAATTTATCTTTTTCTCAATTCTTTACAATATAAACTTTAACCATAAAATATACATATCACCATTAATTGGGCATGTAAATGAAACAGAGTTGGAGGCTCATATATGAGTTTTTGTGAGGCTAAAGGCACGAAGCAAGATCGATTGCTCCTCTTCTTGAGTGAGTGACAGTACCGTCAAGGGTCACAAGTGGCCCAGCTCAGACATCTGGGACCTGGTGTTCATTGCTAAAACTATATAAACGCGTAGGAAACTGCAGGCAAAATAATATTCTGAGAGTAAGACTCAATCAGTTGCTCAGCTGGAGAGCGTCCAATCATATGACTCACCAATACATATAAAGTTTTTAATTAAAAACAATACAACTTTATTAGTCTCAGCTCTGTTAACTAATCAGTGGGTAATAATGTCATGTCTGGAGTCTATCTTCCAAAACTTCATGATACCCACACTACCCTTCAAATGTATCCCTGGCTCTGTTCCTATTTCTGAAGGAAAGATAGAGACAATGCCACGCACGCTCAGCTTTGTTTTGATTCATTTATTTAAATGGCTTCCAGTACAAGGTAATTTGACAATTATAGCACTAAAAAAAATGGAAAAAAACATGTAAAAGCTGTTACCAAAGCCTCATATCTAATGCCAGAAGAGGCTATTATGCTAGTAAGGGCAGGTCTACACTAGAAGCACTACATCTGCATAGATGCACTGAGTGTAGGGTGACCAGATAGCAAATGTGAAAAATCGGGACGGGGGTAATAGGAGCCTATATAAGAAAAAGACCCAAAAATCGGGACTGTCCCTATAAAATCAGGACATCTGGTCACCCTACTGTAGTGTGTCTGGTGAAGACGCTGTATGCCAATGGGAGAGCACTATCCTGTCAGCATAATTACTGCACCTCCGCGAGCTATGTCAGTGTGAACAGCGCCTAGGTTGCTGTAACTTGCGTTGCTCAGGGGGGTATTTTTCACACCCCTGAACAATGTAAGTTACATTGATTTAAGTGGTAATGTAGACCTGGCCTACACCATGTGTGTGTGTGTACATATATATATATATATATATATACACACACACACATATATATATATACAGACACACACACAAACACACACACACAGATACACACACACACTCTCTCTCTGAAGCGGGGCAATTACTTCAAAATTCTAGTAGTGTATAATTGTTTATATATATGCTAACTGAAGAGGGAGTTTCTTTAAGAATCTAGGATACTTTGGTTTCTTTGAAGCTATTGCCAACACAAGTTTCCAGTTATTTTCACCAGGAAGGATGGTCTTGTGGTTCAGACTCTGATGTGGGCTCAATTCTTCACACCCTTACAGGTTTCTGGTGAAAGTCACTTAGGGTATGTCTACACTACCGCGGTAGTTCGACGGCTGGCAATCGAACTTCCGGGTTCGATTTATCGCGTCTGGTCTGGACGCGATAATTCGAACCAGGAAGTGCTCGCCGTCGACTGCGGTACTCCACCTCAGCGAGAGGAGTACCGCGGAGTCGACGGGGGAGCCTGCCTGCCGCGTGTGGACCGCGTCTGAACCGCGGTAAATTCGAACTAAGGTATGTCGACTTCAGCTACGTTATTCACGTAGCTGAAGTTGCGTACCTTAGATCGAATTGGGGTGTTAGTGTAGACCAGGCCTTAGTCTCTATGTGGCTCAGTTAAAATGGGCGTAATGAAACTCTCTCACAAACTGTGTTGGTCTGATTTTTAAATGAAGCATGTTTGCAAGTGGTCGCAGGTTCAGGGCCTCAGGCTGTGAACTCTTTGGGACAGGGATTGTCTTATAGTATGTGTTTGCACAGCACTTGGCACAATGGGGCCCCACAATCGCAGCTGGGGCCTCTAGATACTATTATAATAATAAAAATAATTTTCCTGCATATGTCCAAATATTTCCACATTGTATGTCACTGTGATTATTTGGGGACTCTAGGTACAACTTATGAATTCTGTTTGATGTTATGAAATTATGAAATTGTTGTATCAGGAAACGCCTCTATGAGGATGTGGATTCCACCAGACCAGGGAGTTGTGAACCTTAATGACTGTTCTCTGACCAAAGGGTCTGCTAAGGAGATTGCCCAAGTAGGGAAATCAGTTCAACCAAGTTTCTCTGCAGGAAGGGTAATCAGAAAATACCCAGCAGGAGAACAAAGAAACCAGATGTTGGTAGTGGCCATAAAAATTTGAGGGAAGACTCACAGATCAAGACACAGGAAGCTTTGGGCAGAAGAGAGGAAGAGAAGTGCATGATTTCTTAGTAGGGGGTCCAGGGCTAGCCAAGTTCAGAGAAACCTAACTAACTTAATTATTCTAACTCAATGATTCTAAAAAGAAATGATGAGCTGCAGAAGAAGGATCCTGGACAGCCCAGAGGAAGCCCAAGTCCAAAGAACTCTCCAGAGTGGTTAGGAAACTGAGGTGTGCTTATTATGTTGTCTGTGTATCTCTTGTGTTGCTAAGTAAAGCGTAATTGTGTTTTAGGCCTGGTCTACACTGGGGGGGGGGGGGAAATTGATCTAAAATACACAACTTCAGCTACGAGAATAGCGTAGCTGAAGTCGACGTATCTTAGATCGACTTACCTCCCGTCCTCACGGCGCGGGATCGACGGCCGCGGCTCCCCCGTCGACTCCGCTTCTGCCTCTCGCCCTGATGGAGTTCCGGAGTCAACGGGGAGCGCGTTCGGGGATCGATTTATCGCGTCTAGACGAGACGCGATAAATCGATCCACAATAGATCGATCGCTACCCGCCGATCCGGCGGGTAGTGTGGATGTACCCTTAGAATGCTGTGCAAAGTTTCTCTGTGTGTCTGTTGGCTTTCACTGTCACAGGGGTAAGGTCTGGACTCTGTTCAGGAGACTTAAAGAGCACACAGGGCCCATCTCACTGGATCCCAAACACAACAGCCTGGGAAATGCCCAACCAGATTATGGAGCTCTACTAGGGTGGTTTGTGTGGAACTGTCATATATTATGTTTTCAGTTATTTTTGCTAAGATGCCTAGAAACTTACGGAAAGAGGTACCTATACAATTAAAATGCATTATTATTTTAAGTTTATAACATCATATAGTGCCTGGCATCTCAAGATTAATAACCTGATACTGAACTATCTGAGATTTTTTGGGGGGTTGCCATGTCCCTAAAACTCTTCTGATTGTTCTGATGTTTATGCTGGTTCATCTTCTGCAGCATTCACAGATGGCCCCTCTGCATTATGTGACTCTGAAATTATTGCAAAAATATAAGACATATTAAAAATAATTAATTGGTAAGATGATTCCTGGCTGATACTTTGCTAGTCATTGAATTAAACAGATATGGGTCAACTGAGGATATCACTCACTAATCTGCACCCCAGTGTCATTTTAGTGCCTTCCAACTTTATTCTAAAATCATCACAGGTACTCTTTCCACTTCCATATTAATGTGCTTCAGTTTGTTAATGTAGTTCTACACAGTGCACTTCTCAATTCCAAAAGGCCCTGTTTTTACAGACTATCCTGCACAACCTACACAATCATTTCACTGTGGCACTGGTTTCCTGCTTATTAAATGCAATGGCCCACCTATTGTGGGTCAATTAGTCGCTTTCAGACCTCCTCATGGTTGGTCATGCTTCAAGGAACTGCCTTTCTGTTCTGTGTTCGTACAATGCCTAGTACAATGGGGTTTTGGTCCATAACTGGGACTTCTAGACACTAGAGTAATACACATAAATAAATAAATAAATAAATAAAAATAATAATAAATGCTACTCTGGCTCTAGCTACTTCCAAAATCATGAGTTAAAATGACACAAGGTTACATCACTGACTCACCTGAATCTGTGTAATGAATTCCTTCAGTCGGTGAGACTAAGTATTTAAGAAGCCAAGAGTTAGCAGGGGGTTCTTCTTAAGACATTTCCCATGTGATAGAAGGGGAATATGTGTCAAACTACAATTTAGATTTTCCTGCTTGTCAATTGAGAAAGTACAGGATTCCCAATTTGAACCCCTCAGATAAAACAGAAATATTAGTTCATTGGTCTATGCTAGGTACCTTTTGGCTTGTCCAAGGATTCAGTTTCTAGCTCTGATTCAGTCTCAGTCAATAAAGGATTTGTTTTTTCACTGTCTTCTTTCACTATGCCATCTCTGTGGGATGCAGATGCTTCGGATGAATTTAAAATGGCCTGCTAAAATAGAAATTGAATATATATAAATAAATAAAATATAAAAATAAAATATAAATAAAATAAAATACAAATAAATATAAAGTTTTGTGATTGGTTATATACAGTGCAGAGTATAATAAATACAGAGTATCTGAACAGAAATACCTTGTTCATAGGCAACGATGGGAACAGTAATTACAAAATTTTCTGTTAAATAGGGGTCGGAGAACATATGGTCTGCATATATTAGACAAAATGCAGTTGAAGAACTAGAAGTTAATTAAATATTAAACATTTCAAGCTGTTATATGGTACTTGAGTCTAATAAAAAAAATCTTGCAACTATCCCTTGGCTTTAAACCACTGCTTGAACATTGGGCAGTAGTTCTCAACCAGTGGTCCGGGGCCCCTTGGGGGGCCGCGAGCAGGTTTTAGGTGGGCTGCCAAACAGAGCCAACATTAGACTCACTGGGGCCCAGGGCAGAAAGCCAAAGCCCTGCCATACAGGGCTGAAGCCCAGGGCTCTGTCACCCGAGGCTGAAGCCAAAGCCTGAGCAACTTAGCTTTGCGGGTCACTATGTGGCCCTACTTGCTACCACCTAATGCTGGCCCTGGCTTTTATATGCAGAAAAACAGTTGTGGCACTGGTGGGCTGTGGCATTTTTATAACATGTTGGGGGAGCCTCAGAGAGAAAAGGGTTGAGAACCCCTACATTAGGGGAAGATGGGAGGATCCATGCTCCAGTAGGCACCTGAAAAGGAATTCCCCATGTCCTCTGGCATAGCTCACAATGCATCAGCAGCTCCAGCACACTTTCAAACAGTGTAGTGTATTCTCCCATCCATACCATGCAGCTCTGCTGGCCAATGTGAAGCCCTGGCCCCATCCCATCACTTTCTGGGAAACTAACACTGTCAACTGCACTAGCAAGAAGAAGTGCTTCCATCGCCCCAGAGTGCACCCATCCTGGAGTGGATATAATCTGACCTTAATGTTTTAGAACTGCTGAAGAGATGGAAAATAACCTTCGTCTTTGCTGTTTTACAGACAATTGTCTGCTGTGTTATTAATTTAATTTTTAAAAGTTACACAAGGAGAATCTCTCAAAACACTCCTTACACGAAGTGGAAGTAGTCAGAACTATTATTAAGCATAGCCATCAGCATTTGTCACCTCTACAGCCAGACTAGGGCAAGTCTCCATGGTGCAGCAATGTGCTCTACAGGGGTGTGATTTCTAAAGTTCACTAACGTATTGCACACTAATTGGTCCACGCAGACCATCCTGATGTGCACTAGAATTTCCCTAGTGTACTTTAATATAGTACTATTTGAAGAACACTAGGGAACTTTTAGTGTGCACTAGCAGGGTCTATGCTGACCAATTAGTGCACGTTAGTGCACTTTAGAAATCACACTCTTGTAGTGTGCATTGCCGCACTGTGTAGACAAGCCCTAAGAATCTTGTCCCTTAGGACCTTTTATCAAAGGTTAAGTATTTTTCAATGATGTTGACCTCGTTATCAGAGGCCTGTAGCAGTTAGAGAAGCTATGATTATGTACACAAATTCTTCCCACACTATGAGTAATGAAGATGAGCAGCTCAGATACAAGGACAATGATCAATGTACATAAATGTAAAGAGATGGAAATACCCCAAGAAATGTCCATGAATGTTCACTTAAGTAAACAAAGGATGTGTTTTGGTTGAGCTTGCACCCCTTGTGTGTCTGCTTTCCATAACTACACTACTAAATGAGCTCACTAGCGGGGATATTCATTCATGGAAACAGCGTAGCTTAACAGAATATTAGAGGTTATTTGAGGAAAACAAATCTTAAACTCATAAGTGTATTTTCACTAGAAAGAGAAGGTTACTCACCTTGTGCAGTAACTGAGGTTCTTCAAGATGTGTGTCCCAGTGGGTGCTCCTCTTCAGGTGGCGGTGCATCCCAGCGCTGTCCATCGGAGATTTTGATAGCAGTGTCTGGTCGCGCGCATGCGCAGTAGCTGTCTTATGGTGGCACTGACACCTCTTCTGGCATGTGCACGCGCCAACACCCTCAGTTCCTTCTCTACCATGGAGCAGTTGATTCTTACTCCGAAGTAGAGGGGAGGAGGGTAGGTAGTGAAGCAACCCACAGAGACACATATCTCAAAGAACCTCAGTTACTGCACAAGGTGAGTAACCTTCTCTTCTTCATTGACTGGTGTCCCTGTGGGTGCTCCACTTCAGGAGAATGTAGAGCAGTGCCCTCATGCGGATGGAAGGGGCTTCGGAGTTGATTGTGTAGCTGCTGCTAGGACCGTGCAGCCTAATTTAGTGTCTGCGCTCAAGCTAAGCATGATTGCATAATGATTGGTGAAAGTGTGTTTGGATGCCCATGTAGCTGCTCTGCATTTGTCAAGGATGGGCACATTGTGCAGGAATGCTGTAGAAGTTGCTGCTGCCCTTGTTGAGTGTGTTCTGATGCCTGTTGGGGCTTCAGTGTTGCATAAGGAGTAGCACAAGTGGATGCAGTTTGATATAGCTGCGCCTTTTGACATTTCTGTTGTTGATACGAACAGTCTGGGGGACTTACGAAAGGTCTTTGTGCTGTCTAGGTAAAAGGCCAGGGCGTGGCAGACATCTAATGTGTGTAATCAGTGATGAGCTCCCAAAATCCTAATAACCGGTTCCTTGCCGGGTCCTCGGTGGCACTTCGGCGGCGGGGGCCCTTCACTCGCTCCAGGTTTTCGGCAGCATTTTGGGGGCGGGTCCTTCACCCGGAGCGAGTGAAGACCCCTCCCCCCGCCGCCGAAGTGCCGCTGAAGACCCGGTAGGGAACCGCGCGGAGAGTACAAGCCCCAAGTGCCTGTCTCCCCCCCCCCCGACCCATTCGACCCCAACCCAGTTCCTGCCCCCGACTGCCCCCCTCAGAACCCGCAACCCACCTGGTTAAGGTGGAATGAGAACGATATTTTGGGCATGAATTTTGGGTGAGTCCTCAGAGTCACTTTGTCCTTGTGGAATATTGTGTATGGGGGGTGAGCCATGAGCGCCCCAATCTCACTCACATTTTTGTGCCGATGTGATGGCTATTAAGAATGCTACTTTCATTGATAAATGGAGCATAAAGCAAGATGCTAAGGTTTAAATGGTTTTCTGGGTAAGCATTTGAGCACTACGTTTAACTCCCATACCAAAGTGGGTTCACGGCTGTCCGGGTACATGTTTTGTAGGCCCGTTATGAATCTCTTTGTAATTGGGTGGGCGAATACTGAGGTCCCTTCTATCTGTTGGTGGAAGGCGGTTATTGCCGCGAGGTGGACCTTGATCAAGTTTGTAGCCAGTTCTGATTTCTTTAACGATAGTAGGTACTCCAGGATCAATGGGAGTGGGGTCTGGTTTGCTGATATTTGTTTTGGCACCAAATGGAAAATCTCTTCAATTTTTGGAGGTAAGTATGTCGTGTGTTTTGTTTTCTGCTGTTAATCAGTACCTGTTGTACTTGATCCGAACAGGTTAATTCGTCCCCTCGGAGCCATGAAGGAGACATGCTCTGAGGTGAAGTTTCCCTGGATTGGGATGGAGGACTTGTCTGTTGTCCTGTGAGAGGAGATCATGTCATCAAGGGATATTGAATGGAGTGCATATTGCCATGCGATTCAGATAAGGGAACAAAGTCTGTCTGGGCCATGTTGGCACTATGAGGATTATCTTGGCCCTGTTGATTCAAATTTGGGTATGACTCTGGAGATTAGAGGAATTGGAGGGAAAGCATATAAGAGATGGGCATTCCATTTTATCAGGAACATGTCTCCCAGTGATTGCGCTCCCTGTCCTGCTCGTGAGCAGAATCCTGGGCATTTCTTGTTTGCTTGTGTGGCAAATAGGTCTATGGACGGATTTCCCCACCTCCAAAGATGAGTTGTGTTATTTCATCATTCAGTTCCCATTCGTGTTCTTGTGAGAGCTGTCTGCTTAGTGTGTCCGCCATGCAGGGCCGGCTCCAGCATTTCTGCCGCCCCAAGCAATAAATAAATAAATAAAAGCTGCGATCGCGCTCGGCGGCCGGGGCAATTGGAAAAAAAAAAAAAAAAAGCCGCGATTGGCGGCGGCAGTTCAGCGGCAGGTCTTTCGCTCCCAGAGGGATTGAGGGACCTGCCGCCCCCAAATTGCCGCAGGTGCCGCCCCTCTCCCTTGGCCGCCCCAAGCACCTGCTTGTTAAGCTGGTGCCTGGAGCTGGCCCTGCCGCCATGATATTCAGGCGGCCTGGTAGATATGAAGCTGTTATAGTGATGTTGTGATTTATGCACCAGTTCCATAACTTTGGAGCTTCCACACATAACGAATGGGATCGTGCTCTACCCTGGCGGTTGATATAGAACATGCAAGCGATGTTGTCTGTTAATATCCTTATCATTCTGTTTCTTATGAGTGGAAGGAAGTGGTAGCATGCATTGCGGACTGTGCGTAGTTCTAGTAGGTTTACAAGAAGATGCATCTCTATTAATGACCATTTGCCCAGGGCAATATATTGTTTCAGGTGGGCCCCCCATCCGATCAGGGAGGCGTCTGTTGTGATTTGAACCGATGGTGTTTCCTGTTGGAAAGGTATGCCTGAGCATACATTTGATGAGTTTGTCCACCAGTGCAGTGATTGAATCACCTCTGCGGTGGATGTGATTCTCTTGTTTAGGCTGTGCCTTCATGGTATGTAGACTGTATTTAGCCATCTTTGTAGGCACCGCATGTGTAGCCTGGCATGGTGACCGCCATGTGTTCCAGTAGTTGTAAGCAGATGCGTGCATGCATGAGCTGTGCGAGACCACCGATATCAGGGAGGTCATCGTGTTAAAGCGGGGCTCTGGAAGGGAGTGAGTCCAGGCAAGCACCTATGAATTCCAGTTGTTATACTGGAGTGAGGATGGATTTCTTTTCATTGATTTGAGCCCCAGGGAGTGGAAGAGGGAGATGGTTAATTTAACACCTCTTTCTGTTTCTGTCTTTGTGGAGCCCTTGATTAGGCAGTTGTCTAAGTAAGGGAATATGAGTATCCTTTATCTGTGCAGGTGCACTGCTACTACTGCCAGTGTTTTGGTGAATACTCTCGGTGCTGTCGATAGGCTGAATGGTAGCACTCTGTATTGGAAGTGTTCTTGTCCTACTGTGAACTTTAGGAAGCGTCTGTGAGCCAGGTTGATTGTAATGTGAAAATATGCATCTTGTAGGTCGAGGGCTGCGAACCAGTCCCCTTCTTCCAGCATAGGGATGATCAAGTTCAGGGTGACCATTTTAAATCTGTGGGCACTGATGAATTTGTTGAGTTTCCTTAGGTCTAGGATGGGTCTCCACCCCCATTTTTCTTTTGAGTCAGAAAGTAATGGGAATAAAATCCCTTCCCTCTGTGTTGTATTGGGACTAGTTCCACCACACCTATTTGCAGAAAGTGATGCACCTCTTGTCTCAATAGATGCTCGAGAGAAGGGTCCCTGAAGAGGAACAAGGAAGGAGGGTGGGTAGTTGGTATAGATGTAAAAGGGATGGTATAGCCTGATAGAATTAGTTCTAAAACCCACTGATCAGATGTGATCATGGCCCAGTTGGTGTCAAATGGCCTGAGTCAGTGCCCAAAGATTTGTGTGTTGTCCGCTGACGCTGGTGTTATGGGGAGCTCATTCAGACCCTCGACCAATACTTCAAAATTGTGGTTTGTTTGGTGGTGGTTGAGACGCTGAGTTCTGGGGTTGATTCTGTCAGTATCTTTGTGGTATATTTCTTTGTCCCCTTGATTCATATGGTCTCTGCTGTCGCTGAGACGTGTTGTCCCTGTTTCTGTTGTATGGCTGATAAAGTTACCACCTGTTTGGTGTTATGTATAGCCCTAATGTTCTGAGGGTCACCCTGGAATCTTTCATGGACTGGAGAACTTCATCGGTTTTGGCCGAAAATAGTCTGTGTCTGTCGAAGGGCAAATCTTCCACTTTGTGTTGCAGTTCTTTGGGGATTCCTGATGAATGCAGCCATGATGCCCTGACATTACAATGGCTGTTGCCATCGTGTGAGCTGCTGTCTGCCACGTCGAGGGCGGCCTGTAGTGCTGTCCTGGAGATAAGCTGACCTTTGTTCACAATGGCCTGGAATTGTTCTCTTTTCTGCTCAGGTATATTCTGGGTGAATTCTGTGAATTTGTTATAATTCTCATGATCATAGTTTGCCAGTAGTGCGGTGTAATTTGCAGTGAGGAATTGCTGTGTGGCTGATGTGTACACTTGTTGGCCTAGAAGATCCAGTCTCTTCCATTCTTTGTTTTGAGGACTGGATTTATATTGTTTCTTTGATTTACTGCATCCACCACTAAGGAGTTTGGTGGTGGGTGCACAAATAGGAATTTCATCCCTTTATTTGGCACGTGATATTTCCTATCTGTGCGCTTGTTGGTTGGTGGGATGGAGGCCGGTGTTTGCCACATTATATCTACTGGTTTCAGGAGGGCATCATTGATGGGGATGGCAATCTTGGAGGAAGTTAATGTATGGAGTATTTTCAGGAGTTAGTATTGTGTCTCCTGTACTTCCTCTAGAGGGATGTTCTGGCTCTGTGCCACTCGCCTGAAGAGCTCCTGGAGGTGTTTGAAGTCATCAGGGGCCGTTGTAGTTGTGGGTATAACTGTTTCATCTGGAGAGGTTCACCATGTTCTGATGTGTCATCTCTCTCTTCTTCCCCGTTCTCTGTCTCTTCAGAGGGTTCCCTATCTCTCCTTGCCCTTGCCTTTGGGTTACTACAGTGAGCGCACTTTTGAGGGATGTGCGACTCCCACAGGCAGCGTACACAGAGTGAATGTACGTCTGAGACCGTCATGGCGTCCTTGCAAGATGCACACTTTTTTAAATCTGGTGATCCAGGCATTTTTGTTTTCATCCCTCTTCAAGGTTTTGAGGACGGGGAGAAAGAAATGTAAAAAAAAAAAAAAATTTTTTTTTACACTACACTATTAAAAACTACATCTACTTAAATCCAAGCTAAACTAACTATTAACACTATAAGTACTATCCTAAATCTCTAAAATCTAACTAAAATCCGCTGACGGACTCCATCTCAAGCCGAGGACGGTTGAGAAGGAACTGTGGGAGTCAGTGCATGCACGTGCCAGAAGAGGCGTCAGCACCACCACAAGACAGCTCCTGCGCACGCACGCCCCGACCAGACACTGCTAGCAAAATCTCCGATCAACGATGCTGGGATGCACCGCCACCTGAAATGGAGCACCCACAGGGACACCACTCGATGAAGAACCTGACTCTAGGAGTTATGTTCCTCCAGTCGTGGAACAGAAATTTACCATGTGACTTACGTACTCCCTCAGAACTAATCAACACCACTTGAATTTCAGATATTAAATTTTCACAGTGAACAGTTAGTGAACAATCTATAGCTCAAGAATGATTCACTCAAACAATTAAGTCAAGAATTTCAAATAATGAAGACATTCAAGAAAATCAGACTGCTCACAGAAAATCTGTGAACTGAAAATTTGTCATGTGAATCATTGGCTCTGAATTATTGATATTGCCACTTCAAAACTTTGAAAGGAATCTCTCAAATTTGGGGCTATTTTCTGCCCCAGTTATTGGTAATCACAAAGATAATACAATTAACCACTGGAACAGTAGTTCTATTATAAGAAATTTTACAGTAATCTTGCAATTGCTTTCTAATAAGAGTCGCATGACACATGATTATAAGCCACCATGACTGGATATGCATAAAGAAAATGAATGAGTCGAACCCTACATTATGGACTTCATTATACCTCTAGCTAGCTATAACAGGTTCTTTATGGCCCTAGCATCACTTCTTCAATTTGCCCACCAGTCCTCAGTTTCCTTTCTGCTACATTAGTTTGGATTCTGGCCAAACTATAAAGTCCTCACTTTCAGGACAAACAAAAGCAAGCCAAGCACAAAACAAAGTAGTTCCTTTGCCAGGATTTTATCACAAGTCTGAGGATATTTGGTGTTTTCGTAAAGCCCCAGCTCCTAGAGTTGTGTGATTAAATGAGACTCTCAGCTTTCATTTAAACAGAAAGGTAAGTTTCTAGCCCTTCCAGCTGTGGAGAAAAGCTTGAAAACATGAAACAGAGGCTCAAAAATCAGAAGTCAAACAGAAAGCACCTATTTAAAAAACACATGATTTTTAAGCCAATTGCGTGATTAATTTTTTAGGGCCCGACTCGTGATTTTTGGCCCTTTTGGAATGGGAAGCCCCATTCTGGTGTTGAAGTGGGACTTCCTCCCATCCTCACTGGAAGCTCTGGACTGGGCACCTAAACAAAAACTGATGGCAAACCTGCACCTCCAGCATACACCAGTACTGTATTGTGGCAGGTCTCTTCTTTCTTTTACTCTACCTCTTCCTGGGTCCTTTGATGTCTTGTCTCTTCAGGCCCTGAGAAACTTACTCCTCCTCAGGGTTCCTGCATCTTCACCAACATTTTCCACAGACCCTTCTGGGCTCAGTGCCTACCCAGTTCTATAAGTGGACAGTCCCACACAAGGCCTGGTCTTTCCAGAGAACTTTCCCCAGCAAGTACATGCTTCCCTCTCTCCTTTCTCCCTCCCACAACATCTCCAGTCATTTTAAGGAAAGGTTGCCTTTTAAAGGGCCTGCTTTTTCTCCCACCATGCACTGCAGTTCTGCCCACAATTACCAAGCATCTGTGAGAACTACATCTCCCAGAATCCTTAGTTTTGAAAGGCCAAGCTCCGTTAGTAGGAAGACCAGCAATGCCTGCTATTAAAGGGGCCAGCAATCTCAGTTACAGTAGCCAACGAAATTATGGTAAATTTGTCAGTCTCAGAAAAGACTAGACAATCAGACCAGCATACTTCTCAAAATGTCAACTACAATTAAAGTCAAAGGGATAATCTCCAACCAATTAAAAATGTTGGCATTAATAATTTTATTCATCGCTCAAAGGCCAATTTAGTGAGTTTTTATCTTTACCATATTATTAATTATTATTATTTGTATTATAGTAGCACCTAAGAGCTACTGGGCACTGTACAAATACAAATACAAAATTAAAGGATGGTTCCTTGCCCAAATTGCTTACTATCTTAACCATTCTAATATAAATATTTAAAGCATTATGTAGGCATATTTTTCTGATTTTATCCGGTTTATTATTTTTTTTAAAAATGTGTTTACCTGACCAGAAGCATGTCCCTCATCTGCTGGTGACTGTATTTCCATTGTCTTTCCTTCCTTCCCTCCTGAGACTGAAGTTCCTTCAGTATCAGTTCTATTACATTTCTCTCGATCAGCTGTAAGTAAAACTGCAACTATAAATACTGCCTGATGAAACGTAAAACTAAACAGAAACACAACTCCCTCTCCTCCTTAAAAGAAAAGTACATTCTTATGTAAGTAAATTTGTAAGTCTGGGAAATACGGGTTGCAACAATTTTTCAGAACTATGCTAAGGCCTTTTTGGTGGACGGTGTGTTCTTGACCACAGTTTTGTCTTAACATGATTTAACACACCTGATAATTTCTGGAGGACTAGTATGGATACACTAAACTGATTTTGAAAGTGATTAGACTAACATTCACTTTCAAACTGCATTTAAAATTGGATTAAACTAATGCGAGTGTGGGAAAGGCTAAAAACACTGATCAAACTTCCTGCTGAATTAAACCTTAAAGTCATTACAGTCTTCAGCAGATCTCAGAGAAAGTATTAAAAAGCCAGAAAACTCACCTTGGAGTGATAAAATCTTTTCATCAGAATGTTTTTTGATGCTGCTTTTTACTTGAAACGGTTCAGTGCTTGGATTATTTTCTTCTACTGAATGTGGAATTCCATGTGGGGGAAAATTTAAAGTATTAGTATGTTTAGGCAATATGCACTCAGAAAGCAGTTTAGTGTCAGTCTCCAAAGTCATGGAGTCCATCCACCTCAAGAGTTTGATACTTTTACTCCAAATAATTTCTTAAATTGGTACCATTTTTACAAAATATGGAAATACAATAAGATAAGACAAATGTGTATCAAGATAGCACTGAAAAACATAGTAGTTCTACAAAATGCTGCAGAAACAGTTGCACAATTTTTGCAAATCAGTCATTTCTCTTGATGTATATGAGCAGTTCTCAATATTATGCATAACCTACTAATGTTAACATGAGTTACATATTTATTAAAGGAATAAATTACTTCATCTTTCTACATGACTTGGTGTTTCTACATTAACTTGACTATTTTATGTATCATTGCTTTCATGATTAAGCAAATATATGTCAATAAATCACAGTAAGTAAAAGTCAGACTATAACAAGTAAGACAGAAGTTAATGTGCATCTGAAATGAGGATTCAAGTTGTTTACTTTGTGATCTCATATGCCTACAGAAAGATTAAACTGTTCTGATTCTTAGGGTCCTCTTTACTTTTTTTGAACATATAAGTTAGCACCAACTTTCTAGTTTCCATATACTGATTTCTGCTTTTAAGAGAAAGGATGGCAGCAGATCCTTGACGTATAGCGGGGTAGGCAACCTATGGCATGCGTGCCAAAGGCGGCACGCAAGCTGATTTTCAGTGGCACTCACACTGCCTGGGTCCTGGCCACCAGTCTGGGGGGCTCTGCATTTTAATTTAATTTTAAATGAAGCTTCTTAAACATTTTAAAAACCTTATTTACTTTACATACAACAATAGTTTAGTTATATATTATAGACTTATAGAAAGAGACCTTCTAAAAACATTACAATGTATTACTGGCACATGAAACCTTAAATTAGAGTGAATAAATGAAGACTTGGCACACCACTTCTGAAAGGTTGCCTACCCCTGATGTATAGTGTATATGCCTCTCTTCTCAGGGGAGAGTTCATTGGCGGGGCAACACGAGGGTATACAGCGGGGGAGAGATAGCTCAGTGGTTTGAGCATTGGCCTGCTAAACCCAGGGTTGTGAGTTCAATCCTTGAGGGGGCCACTTGGGGATCTGGGGCAAAATCAGTACTTGGTCCTGCTAGTGAAGGCAGGGGGCTGGACTCAATGACCTTTCAGGGTCCCTTCCAGTTCTAGGAGATAGGATATCTCCATATATTATATTACAATTTAGGAAAGAAACAGTAGGATACAATAATAGAAAGTCTCCTAAATAACTTTGATAGGGCTCATGTATGATGGTAGATAAAAGGACTGTCACAAAGAGAATAAAAGGCTGAATTGAAAAGGCAACTCTGCTGTGAACATTTATGCATGGGAGTAACTTTACATATGTGACAAGTCTCTTTAAACTCAATGGGTCGTCGCATATGTAAAGTTATGTATTTGCCGATCGGGGCCTAAAGCAGTATTTTCATGCATTTAATATTAGCTCATATTTTATATAGTTGCCTACCAGTTGGATCGTTAGTTGCACCTTCTGGTTGCTTCTAGGAGAAAAAAAAGAATACATGAGTGGAAAATATTGAACATTTCGCTTTTCTAATTAAAAGTGGCACTATTTAGTAGCTTGTTGTGCTGAAGGGATTTTTTTAAATAATCTTCTGGATTCATTTCATAGTGGGGCATAATAGTAACTATCACCCTTGACATGAGTTGTGACTGTCAAATAATTTTATTTCAAACTCTAACCAGGTAAGAGAGTTGTGTACATTAATTCTTGTGCTGAAATGACTACAGAATAATTTATACAGTCATTAAAAAAGATCTTAGTTCAATGAGCTATATTATCTTCAGAAAAAAGAAGTCCTCATTCTACTTTAATAATTATACTGTAGGAATTTCCGTATATAGGAAGTAACTGCAGAATCAGGTCCTCTGGCCCCAGTCATGGAATTATTTGTGAACATAGTCCCACTGAGTTAAATCTCTGCAAGATTGAGACTTGTGACTCCAAATAACAGTCCTAATTCACTCTATCAAATATTAAATGAAACACTGTTAATGCAGTATCATAGTTGACACATATTTAACAAGCACCAAGGTCAGAAAATTCAGTTATGTTTCCCACAGCAGCTGCAATTGAGCCCCGGATGCATATACAGGACCAAACCCTGCCCCCTTCCAAAGCAGAAAACTCTAAAATACAGCAAAACCTCCATGGTTTTATCATGCAAGATGGCTGGGCATGGAGAGGGTGTGCAGGGGGAAAATCACATTCTATATCATGGAATTTCCCGATTTTTGTGCCTGGGTAATTTCAGTTATAATGCTTTTGTTTGAATTTAATGTCTTTGGCTAGTTAAAAATCATTACACCATGAAATGGAAGTCATAGCACCTGGTCCTGTAACCACTGAAGTCAATGGTCAAACTACCACTAACCTCAATATTGCAGGATCAGGTCCATAAAGCACTATGATTACATATGCAAATAAATGCACTGGGGCCTTTGATTAAATATTAAAATAAAACTTTCCACATATGTTCAGGCAGCCCTGGTTTGAACTTCCCCATCTTGTAAGAGGAGAGATCAGCCAGGCATTCTGCTAGGTATTACCACTGGAAATTTCCAATTTCATGTATTCTATAAGTAGGGCCCTTCATTTGCAATTTTAATTTAATTTAATTTAATTTTTATTTAATTAATTCCCAGGAATTTATCAGTGTTTATTACCACAAAAACAGGTGAAAATCAGTGCAAAAAACTATTAATAATTTTTCTGGGTAAATACTGGAGTTTATTTTGGTGGACAGAAAGACAGGGGGAAAAAATATTCAGTAGATTAATGCTTTGAATTTTGTTCATCAATGTGGTTTGCTGCAGAACTAAAACACAACTCAAAACACAATGCCACTTCTGAGTTTAAGAAAACAATGTCTCTGTAATCCCCAAATAAAACTTTTCATTTGAATAAATAATTTACAGTTGTAGACTTAGAACTATTAGCCTATAAATATTTACATTTAATAATTGGGCAATACCATTTGCAGCGCATACACTCAACTTCATCCTATTTTCCTGTTTTTGTTTTTTTAAAAACTTTCAAATACTTCCTTGTGTTCTGAAATGTATTCCGATACAGATTTTCGTTTTCTTTCCATTTTCATGTGTCAAATTTTTAAACAATTATCTGCTAATAGTTTGAAAAGTGTACATGGTGGGCGTGAGATTCATCAGTACATTCAGATGCGCACGCACTTCAGAGCTTGCATGTGCACCTGTTTGTTTATTGTGTGCATCTTCTAGACTAATACATAGCCTAACTTCAACAGGCAGCTTGGCATATACACACACAGACGAATGTATTATCATAATACATATATCTCATGCAATGTATTGTATTTTCCTAATAAAACAAGTTATTATTTATAGATTTGAATGATACAAAAGTAGGGTGAAAATCAGAAAAAAAATGAATAATACTTTTTGGAAAACCAAGAAATTTTTCGGTAAAAATCGGTTTAAACGGAAAATGAAGGGGCTTATCTATAGGGCACAATATTCTCTGGGGCACAGAGCTTGTGAAAATTGCCATGACACACTCCATCAAGAAGGCTGATAGTCCTGTTATGCCTCTCCTAATGCCACTGTACAAGTAGGAGTCGTCGGAGGAGATTTCTAAAGGAAATGAGGCAAAAGATGGATTACCAAGATTGGGGAGGGGGTCAGGGAACCAATGGTTGACTGGGACTATGTCTACACTATGAGCTAGGGGTTTGATTCCCCTGCTTGTATACACATACTAGCATTTGCTCTCAGCAAGCAAGTGCAAGTTTAAATAGCAGTGTAGTCATAGCTGCACAGGTAGCAGCAGCAGAGACACAGCTGAGCCATGCTGAGTATTTATCCACTAGTTTCAGAGGAGCCTGCAAACACAAGAGAACAATAGGATTTGTTCTTGATTAAAAGACATGCTCTCACGGGGAGCGAAAGCTAAGGTGAACCAGGGCTGTCTGAGGCAAGCTAGACCTTTCAAGGGCCCCTTGGTTATTTTAAGATCCTTTTCTCTTAAGTGCTTTGTACTTATGGGTAAATAAACAATACTCTTTTTTAAGAAGGTCACTGTAAACAGAAAGTCATAGGCTTCCAAAGGGAAGAACAGCAGATACTAAACCCAGTAGGACCTGCTGGGTAAACATGTTTGGTAAATAGAGTACTGCAGCCTAGGGCCATTTGAGAGTGGGAAAATCATGTGATTCCACCCAAAGAGAGGTAGTCATGAGGTCTGAGACTTGAGGCAGTGCATTCAGAGAAGGGACAGAGTTGCAGTTAGCCCTGTAACTGACACATGGCTTTTAGCTGTAAACTTTCTGCCACCTACTTTTTCATCTCGATTAGGCCAAATGATTTTCTTTATCTTCATTGCTTTAATTAGGTTTTCACAGTCACTACAGGGCTCACATGTGGTGATTAATTCAGTGTCACTCAGATCATCCTCAGTTCTGTAAAAGACAAAAACACTGTCATTTTTATAAATTAGCTCTTTTCTGGTTGAAGTTGTTTCTCTTAGCATATCTAAAGCGAGTTCTTCTTCCTTCTCTTCCTCTGCCACTGACCAAAGGAGACTAGTAAGGAACCTCAGCCCCATGGCTAAGACTCAGGATATACTGTGGACTCACTGCCATGGGAAGTGATGGAATGAGGTTGCATAGACTATCTAAGGAGGAGTCAGCATGGTCCTCCATTCAGCTGTGTGCTCCCAGCACTGTAGAGATAATACTCCTGTCCTCACACACACACACCCCTGCCCGCCACCACCCAGATCCTCCCAGTGTCCTAGCCCAGCTGCCTTCCTCCCCTTCTCTAGTAGGGTGAGGTAACATACTCTAGTGTACCTTTTTGTAATCATGTCCATCCGCCATTCATCCATGGCTCTCACCACACCCCTCTTCTACATCATAGCATCCATCATCATCCTCCCTCCCCCTTTCCCCATGGTCTCCATTTCCTCTCCCTTGTTACTCTCACATCTCTACAGTTCCCATCAGGTCTACCTACTCCTCTTCCCCTTCTCACCTCTATCTCCTCCCTCCTCCCACCTGCACAAATTTAGGTCCCACATTTGCATTCTCCTCCTCACCTCTGGTGACATTTGCCCCCATTCTACCCCTTCCTCCACCCTCTCCACCTCCCACATCCACACCCTCTGCCACCACCTCTTTCCCTTTTCATGCCACTATTCCTCACACTTCTTACCTCAGAATAATTGCATTAGCTTCTGCACATATGATTGCATGCCGGTCACAACTACCATCATCCTTCTGTGCAAAAAGACTATTCACTGTCCCTTTTGGAAATCCATTGTAGCCAACAGCGACCTATAACAACACCAGGCAAAAATAAAAAAAAGGAAGAATACTTTCCCAGGACCCTGATGCATTTAGGCCCAATCCAACTCCCAAAGATTGTCATTGACTTCCATAGGAGTTGCTGTATTGTTGTGCACTTTGATCAGCTCGTTGTTATTCTTTGAGCATGTAGATTTCCATCTCCCAAAATGTTTGGTTTTTGAAAAATGAATACTAAATGTATCTGAAGTCCCAGTTAGGGGTTAACTGCAAAATCCTAACAGCAAATCCTGTTTTTAGGACAATTTTTCTTTCAAGTTCCATGAAATCTTGTTCATGCAAATTTGAAGTTTGCTTTCCATGAACAGACGTCTCAGTAAAACCTGATTAGTTATGAAGACAAATGCAAAAAAGGTTAAGGTGCATGAAGTGAATAATTTAAAAATTTGAGCAAGACTGCAGTGTTTGCCCAGCTGAGGTGGAATTATTTATTCATTTTGCAAGTATTTATACTGTAGAGATTGCATGAGTGTAGTAGGACTGGAATGCAGGGAAGTCAGCTGACTAGTAATAATATGTATCAAATAGAGGGGGCTTTGCACAGTCCAAGCACTGTGTAGATATTAAATAATTAATCATCACAACATTCCTGGGAAGTAGGTCAGGAAGTATTTTTTCTGTATTCTTCACATGGAGATGCAGACACAGAGGGCCTAATTCTGATCTCACAGTGTTGTGCCTCCACCGACTTGGTAATGGACCTCAAAGGTGCATTCCTTAGTCCTAGTCCCATCCTCAATCAGCTACACCATGTTACGTCTCGGCATGTGTAATTGTGTGAAATATTAGTAGGGCTATGGGTGTACTAAGACAATAAGTTCTAAGGCCTATAGAAGACTGCAGCTGCACATTTTATTAGCCTCATTATATTCTATCTGAATGTTTGATTATTTTTTATACTCTGTTAAAAATAGTCATGTGGAAACATGACCACGTGAATAATTTGCTCCTTGTGCAAGTTTCATTGTCTTTAAAATCCCTTCAGATTTTGACTTGCATGGAGAGGGGTGGTGTAGGAGAGTTTTTAAGAATCGTTATTTATATGTCAGTAAAATTAACTTGCTCACTTATATAAATAATACTGAGGAAACCCCACAGAAATGCAGTGCATATCTATGGCAGACTTGAGCTCTTTTAAATATTTCTATGCATCACAATACATTGCACAAAAATCCTACAAGCAAAAGTTTAATGTGACAATCAGCTATAATAGATTAATGTTTGTATCAAAAATGAATACTTGACGGTGAGACTGAGGGGTTTTCCTCATCATTTTCAAACTGTATCCAGACTAATATTAATAGTTCTTGGGCTGCATATATTGTACTTACAATGTCTTCTTTCCTGTAGATCAGTGTCCCCACTCCAGTATTAGGACTGTCTGGCATGAAAAAAAAAATCAAATAGTGAAGCTACCAACAAAGTCTCAGGACTTGATTCACCCTGTTGGTGCAAAGATATGCAAAGTGCACATCCCTAAGCCAGAAGAGGTTGCTATTACCACTGCTGCCCTCCAGAGGGTATTCAACCAAGGAAAGAAAGTGTTAAGTTGCAGTGAGGGCTCCATATCAGCACCAGCAGTGAAGACTATCCAGGGATGTGGTGAATCAGCACATTCCACATGCAAGCAGATGGACATCATACCAAAAGGACTAAAGGTAAAAATCCATTACAATCTACATATCACACAGACTATGCTGAGAGACTGTGTCACACACTCTCAAAGAAACTGCGAAACCACCTGATCAGCATCCTATACAGCAAACAGGGAAAGATTAAGAATGAGCTCTCAAAACTGGATAATCTCATAAAAAACCAACCGTCCACACAAACTTCCTCATGGATAGACTTTACAAAAACTAGACAAGCCATTTACAAGACAAACTTTGCCTCTCTACAAAGGAAAAAGGACACTAAACTATCTAAACTGCTACATGCCACAAGGAGCCACAACAGTAGTTCCCTTAACCCACCCAGCAATATTGTTAATCTTTCCAGCTATACTCTTAGCCCAGCAGAAGAGTCTGTCCTATCTCGGGGCCTCTCCTTTTGTCCCTCCAGACCCACGAACATGATACAGTTCTGCGGTGACCTAGAATCCTACTTTCGACGTCTCCGACTCAAAGAATATTTCTAACATACCTCTGAACAGCATACTAACCCACAGAATCCCCCCTACCAGCACTACAAAAAAAAGGATTCTGCGTGGACTCCTCCGGACGGTCGAAACAACAGACTGGATTTCTACATAGATTGCTTCCGTCAATGTGCAAAGGCTGAAATTGTGGAAAAGCAACATCACTTGCCCCATAACCTCAGCCATGCTGAACACAATGCCATCTACAGCCTCAGAAACAACCCTGACATCATAATCAAAAAGGCTGACAAAGGAGGTGCTGTCGTCATCATGAATAAATTGGAATATGACCAAGAGGCTGCTAGACAGCTCTCTAACACCACATTCTACAGGCCATTATCCTCTGATCCCACTGAGGATTACCTAAAGAAACTACACCATCTGCTAAAAAAACTCCCTGACAAAGCACAAGAACAAATCTGTACAGACACATGCCTAGAACCCCGACCAGGGGTATTCTATTTGCTACCCAAGATCCATAAACCTGGAAATCCTGGATGCCCCATCATCTCAGGCATTGGCACCCTAACATCAGGCTTGTCTGGTTATGTGGACTCTCTCCTCAGACCCTACGCTACCAGCACTCCCAGCTATCTTCGAGACACCACTGACTTCCTGAGGAAACTACAATCCATCGGTGATCTTCCAGAAAACACCATCCTGGCCACTATGGACGTAGAAGCCCTCTACACCAATATTCCACACAAAGATGGACTACAAGCTATCAGGAACAGTATCCTCGATAATGTAACAGCTAACCTGGTGGCTGAACTTTGTGACTTTGTCCTCACCCACAACTATTTCACATTTGGGGACAATATATACCTTCAAGTCAGCGGCACTGCTATGGGTACCCACATGGCCCCACAGTATGCCAACATTTTTATGGCTGACTTAGAACAACGCTTCCTTAGCTCTCGTCCCCTAACGCCCCTACTCTACTTGCGCTACATAGATGACATCTTCATCATCTGGACCCATGGAAAAGAAGCCCTTGAGGAATTCTACCATGATTTCAATAATTTCCATCCCACCATCAACCTCAGCCTAGATCAATCCACACAAGCGGTCCATTTCCTGGACACTACTGTGCTAATAAGCGATGGTCACATAAATACCACCCTATACCGGAAACCTACTGACCGCTACACTTACCTACATGTCTCCAGCTTCCATCCAGGACACACCACACGATCCATTGTCTACAGCCAAGCTCTAAGATATAACCGCATTTGCTCCAATCCCTCAGATAGAGACAAGCACCTACAAGATCTCTATCAAGCATTCTTAAAACTACAATACCCACCTGCTGAAGTGAAAAAACAGATTGACAGAGCCAGACGAGTACCCAGAAGTCACCTCCTACAAGACAGGCCCAACAAAGAAAATAACAGAACACCACTAGCTGTCACCTTCAGCCCCCAACTAAGACCTCTCCAGCGCATCATCAGAGATCTACAACCTATCCTGAAAGATGATCCTTTACTCTCACAGATCTTGGGAGACAGACCTGTCCTCGCTTACAGACAACCCCCCAACCTAAAGCAAATACTCACCAGCAACCACACATCACTGAACAAAAACAGTGATCCAGGAACCTATCCTTGTAACGAAGTCCGATGCCAACTCTGTCCACATATCTATTCAAGTGACATCATCATAGGGCCTAATCACATCAGCCATACCACCAGGGGCTCGTTCACCTGCACATCTACCAATGTGATATATGCCATCACGTGCCAGCAATGCCCCTCTGCCATGTACATTGGCCAAACCGGACAGTCTCTACGCAAAAGAATTAATGGACACAAATCTGACATCAGGAATCATAATACTCAAAAACCAGTGGGAGAACACTTTAACCTGTTTGGCCATTCAATGACAGACCTGCGGGTGGCTATCTTACAACAGAAAAACTTCAAAAACAGACTCCAACGAGAGACTGCTGAGCCGGAATTGATATGCAAACTAGACACAATCAACTCAGGATTGAATAAGGACTGGGAATGGCTGAGCCATTACAAACATTGAATCTATCTCCCCTTGTAAGTATTCTCACACTTCTTATCAAACTGTCTGTACTGAGCTATCTTGATTATCACTTCAAAAGTTTTTTTCTCTTACTTAATTGTAAGTAACTCCCACCTGTTCATGCTCTCTGTATGTGTGTATATATATCTCCTCAATATATGTTTCATTCTATATGCATCCAAAGAAGTGGGCTGTAGCCCACGAAAGCTTATGCTCTAATAAATTTGTTAGTCTCTAAGGTGCCACAAGTACTCCTGTTCTTTTTGCACATTCCACAGTTGACTTGCCTGAACGAAAGACTTCAGCCCACACAGCCCTATGTCCCTATGCAATCCACCTCTACCCCCCACCTGGTGGTGTCTTCTTGAGTGGAAGTGCCAATGATCTGTTAAATTCCTGTAGCACTCCTTGCTACTCATTCCAACAGTTATTATATCTCCCTGTATCTCAGAAAAAGCATAAAAAATACTATCTCCACCTGAGAAAGCGAGTCATAATGGTTTCTGCTAAGCCTTCTCACTACAAAAGGTGAACTCATCCACTCAGTGAACCAAAACCAATACAATACGATCCTGGGGTTTTTCGCCTTTCTCTGCAGCATGGGGCATGGGGTCACTTGCAGATTTAAGCTAGTGTAACTTGAAGTATTTAAATAAATATTTGAGGACTTCAGTAACTCAGCCAGAGGTTAAGAGTCTAATACAGGAGTAGGTGGATGAGGTTCTGTGGTCTGCAATGTGCAGGAAGTCAGACTAGGTGATTATGATGGTCCCTTCTGGCCTTAAAGTCTATGAGTATGACCAATCACAGCCAGCCAACCCAGCTTGAAATGCAAAAAAAGTAATATTGTCTCAGAATTGTTTTTAAACTGTTATAAAATTACCCCAAATTTGCAAATGAACTAAAAACCAGGAAAATCTGAATAAAAAAAAATATATTTTGGACCAATATGTCCAACATCTTGTGTGAGTGCACAAGAGTGGGAGCAAAAGAGTGGGCAAGGGACCAGCCATAACTGTAGTGTCTGTGCTCAGAGCAGAAGGACGACTGTCTAATAGCACCCCATGAGGTGCTAGAAACCACAAAGGGGTGCGGGTGAAGGTAGGGTCATGTCCCTGCTGGCTAGTTAGAGATAAAATGTGAGCCATCCTCCTAGAGGTTAGTGGAATGAATGTTCTTCCTTTGCTCATCATGGACCTCTAGGAAGCATTGTGCTTCTTTGGGGCATAATTCTGCATGGAATTCTTGGTAGTGCAGCATGGCTCTTCACCAAATGCAAGCTGGTCTAGGGTTAAAGGTGCAATTTGGTCCTTTGTTACGGATATTTTTGCCAATCTCTACTACCTTTGAAAGTATCTTTTTCAGGTGACCTGTATTGGTTCTGTAATATTGAGGTATAATTAATTTAATTTGGTCTGCATACCACAGGCTAATTTTCTAACATGGGCAATACCACTGTAATATTTCACTTCTAGTGTAACAAGTTAGCTAAATGCATGCACAGCTTCCTTGAAAGTCATTACTATGAATAAGGTCACAGAACTCAGCGTTACAGCTTCATAGTTGCTTCCTAAATCACACATTAAGTACATATAATTCTCTACTACCCAGGACTCTAAAATCCTGAACCCATATCTTTCCTATACCACATTACTTACTGACTTTACCTTAATACTAATCATTCACTTACCATTTCTGGCTGCTAGTAAGTTACAGAGCTGCAATGCATGAGTATACTTGAGCTGTCTTTGAATGGCATGTTTATCCTCTTGAAAATTATTTTCCTTTATTTCGGTATCAATGCCACCTGCCAGTGTCTGAAAAGATTCTATTGCTTTTTGAATATCATCTTCATATGAGTCTCGGAATGATTTATCTTTTTTAATGTGCGTCAGGTTAAGTATTTCTAAAAGTTTAGGTGATTGTTTTTGATCATATACAGAGGTAATTCGAGTGGTGGTCTTATCATCTGGAGGTGATCCTGTTCGTGGAAAAATCCTTCGCTTCACCATTTCAACATCTAATATTGGTATGTAGACTGCTGCAGTGATATAGCTTTCCCTAAAGATGTTATCAACATGTTCAGCTTCCATTTCAATTTTGTTCAGATTTACTTCTGTTGTTTGTATTTCAAGATTAGGCCAGTAATACACTTGAGAAACTTGAGCTGTATGAAGAAAAATATATGTAAGATAATATTTTAAAAGAAATATAATAAAGTGAACACACCTTCTTAACTAGTAAAATTAAAGCAGTACTGGAAGTAATTATATTAGTTATACTTTTTCATGTATTATTTATTATTCATGAGAACAGCAGTGTGAGGCAGTTACACTTAATACACACAAAGGGGTCCTGATCCATGACTAGTGTTCCTAGGTGCTACTGCATTACAAATAAATAATAATCATCATCATCACCCTCTACGTACAGCACCAGCTACACAAACATGAAAAAATGAGAAATTAACAACTATGTCATTAACAATCTACATCTTCCTATTAATCTCAGATTTAATGCATCCTCTTCACTGAACACATTCAGTAAATTGAAAACATAGCTCAATCAATAATAAAACAGAAATTTCACCCTTGGAGCAAAACAAATTATTATTAATAGATATTTTAAAAATTGACATCCTTTGAATTACAGACATAATATGAAGCCAGGTACTTGTTTTGTCATATTTATTTTCAGAACTTTGTTGCCACTGTAAATGGAAATCTCAATACGACCCTAAAGACGGAACTGCCCACACACATAAATAATCCATTTTAATGCTCACAGAAAGATACATTTTAAAATTAATTTCACCACTATAAATCTTACAAACATAACTCCATTTAAAATTCAGCTTAGTCAAGTAGATCTTGATGTTTCTATTTGTTTATAATGGGATCACTTAACTGTGATTGGACTAAGGATATAAATGATTCCTTTCTATTTAGCACGGTGTTACCATATTACAGAGTGAATCTCTTTAGCCCATCCAGGAAGCATCGTTTCAGGTGATGGGATTAAACTGAGTGAAACTACAGACTACTCATATTTATCAAACCAGGTGTGACTATCAAATGCTAATATTCAAAAATATTAAACAGGTTCTATATGGTTTTGGGTTTTGGTTTTGTTGTTGATAAGTTTTGTTTGTTTATTTGTTTTTTGCAGGCAAATATACTTTGAGTATTGAATAAATGGCAACCAAATATCTAACTATATATTTGTCTTCTGCCTTTTTTGCTAGGCATAGTTGATACATTAATTTTTCCATAGCAACACCCTCCCTTAATTTTTTTAGAATTATTCCTCTAGCTTTGTATTATTTTTCTTTTTCCAATCAGAGATTATCAGTAGCCTAGAAGCTGCGAGCAGATGAGAGATGAATTTTCATTTCTTTGAGTGTGACCATTTCTTCTAGGAAGCCCCAGAAGGCTTGCCAAAGGATCATTTGGTAATAATATCCAATAATTTGTATTATCAGGTTACAAATTGCATCCTAATACTCTCTAATGACTGGACATGTCCATCACATATGCATAAAATCTTTCTGTCACCACAATTTCTACAATATTTATTCCCATACAATCTCTCTCTATTTTTAACCTGACTGGAAGCGTAAAAAAAAAAAATTCCTAACCTGATCTCCCAGCAGGCCACCTCTGGTCAGAGTTAAGGTTGCAGTTTCCATTTTAATTTGACTCATTTACTCACTCATTTTCAATAACAGGATTGTGGTATGAAAGTTAATTGAGGAGGACAGGATGATTTATTTCTCTAGCTAAACCATCACTCAACAATAGGATGAGTTATTCAGCAGAAGGAAGAAGGGAATGGGAAAAGAGTAGAGAGGGAAAGGAAGTAACCCTTGACATCACTATTTGATCAACCTGTGAGTCTTTCATAGGTATGATGCCAGTTAGTTACAAGTATAGTATCTCTGATACTGACCTTGAATCAAAAGTTTTGCACAACTGATGCAAGGCATTCGAGACAGGTAAACTTCACAGCCTTTCAGTGCATTTGGAAATCTTAACAATGCTTTTGGCACAGCATGAAGATCATTAGTGGAGCAGTCCATTGTGATAATCCTTTTCGGTTTGTTAGCTTCACAGATGACAATTCCAGTTCTGAAAAACTACCAAAAAAATGCTTTTACAATATCTTTAAAACAAACAAAAGGAAGTATTTCTTTACACAACGCACAGTCAACCTATGGAACACTTTGCAAGAGGATGTTGTGAAGGCCAAGACTATAACAGGGTTCAAAAAAGAACTAGATAAATTCATGGAGGATAGGTCCATCAATGGCTATTAGCCAGGATGGGCAGGGATGGTGTCCCTAGCCTCTGTTTGCCAGAAGCGGGGAATGGGCAACAGGGAATGGATCACTTGATGATTACCTGTTCTGTTCATTCCCTCTAGGGCACCTGGCATTGGTCACTGTTGGAAGACAGATGGACCTTTGGTTTGACCCAGTATAGCCATTCTTACGTTCTTATGTTTAAACCTGCCAATTAAAGTTGTATGACTGACTGCCAGCCAATATGGTGAACCCTCCCCCAGTGCAACTGCCCCTTGAGGTACAATTTATGTCCTCTGCAACTGCAGGGATGAAACAAGCACAATAATTTCACTGCAGGAACTAACAGGAAAATATTGGCTAAGGTACAATATTTTAAACAGAGGTAAGTGTATCTAATAACCATTGTAGAAAAAGTTATAAGATTAAAAATATAGGTAAGAATTATATATTTTAGTATTACTTATTTTAAAGCTTTCTTCAATATGAAAGTCTTGCTTTTATATTTCTGTCCTTGAAAACTAAGGCTGACTATACTACAAACTTAAGTCTTCCAAGAGCCAAATATTATCAAATATATTATTGGTATTATTTAACATTTATATTGCTGTGTGGTACTCAAAGCCCTCAACAAAGTTGAGCTCCACTGCACCAGGCACTGTGCGAACATATAACACATGTCAATCCCTAGCCCAAAGAGCTTACCCTGGACATTTTTAATAAGGAGAATTAGTGAGAAGGAAGGAAAGTAGTCCTTCTGTCTGGAAATTCTTCTCCAGACAGACACACAGATCCATCAATATCCATAAGGAACTGCAATAATTTAGTACTAATATAGCCAAACTATTCTGCTTACCACTCCTAGTTCTGCAGCGCCACGTTAACAATATCAGAACATCCTAGACAATGTCACATATAGAATTCCTGATTTGGGGGACTAAATTTTGTGCTTGTGAAAATGAGGAACTATCAGAGTTGGCTTGAGGCAGACACTTTCTCTGCAAGCCTTCTGTACACAAGTGACAGTGCACTTCAACCCCAACCTGCAAAATCTCTGCTCATCTGGTCCTGAACCACTTTAAAACAGACACTATCAACTGTGCTGTGTGCTTGTTTTAGGATATACCAAATTTGGACTATGATGAGATCATGTAAGACTAAACATTACATGACCACGTGAAAACACTAAGATTTGGAAACCACTTCACTCATATGAAATCTTTACCAGATAACGTTGTGATAGTTTTAAAGGCTATTCCACCACTGTTGGCTAGCATAGGGGCCGAGTATTTATGCAATTTGGAAACATAAAAGGAGTTTTTGATTTATCAGAACTTCTTGGACATTTTGCATACTGTAGGTTAAAATCCTAACCAGTCAAAATCATAATCAGCAATATGTAATAGTTAAAATCCTAATTAATATCATGGCCTCTCTTATTCTGCATAATAGATACTGAATTCACTCAACTCACTTTTAAGATATTTGTTTCTTTTTGTTTGTTACCCGCATATTTACATCTTGGTTCTTGACAGTTTGGTGAATTTTCCATATGGAGTGCTAAGAAGATGCACAAGTCTTCTTTATTTGGTAGTCGAGAAGGAGGATCTGAAGAAAAGAGTGGAATTAGAAGCTAGTTCATCAAAACAAGCATGGAGCAAAAGCAGCAAATGGAGTAAATGTAAAATAGCCAATGGGACTGAGCTACAGAGGATAATTCCCAAACTATGCAGTCTCTGGTTAAAACGAATGTTGCTGTACCTTTCATTGCTATGTGTATTAAAATAAAGAACTATATCCTAAAACCACATTAAAATTTGGTCCACCTGACACTCTGTGAAAATCCTCATTCTTGAACTTTTCTGATTCTGAGATCAATCTGTGCCTCTCCAATCCCTGCTGTAAGTTACACTGGCCGTTCCAGCAGCTGGGGATTGCCAATGTGCAATGATACCCTAGTCTTGCTCCCTTCTCTGGCTACTCTGCCTGTATCTGCTGAAGGGAGAGTAACTCCTATGCCTACCCCTTCCTTCGGCTGGCACAAGGAGTGACTTCAACAGGTTTTGTATCAGGCCCAAAGCGGATATCCTATACCTGGGACAGCCTTTTCCTCACTCACTCAACTTCACGTTCCTCTCCAAAACTCATTTATTTCAGCTACCATACTGCCATGTATCTTCTCTTTGATGCTATATGTCCTTCTCTGTTACCTGAACATTATTTAAATAAATAACTCATAATTAATACAAATAATATAAAATAAGACAATTTATACAATGAGCTTTACTTAAAAACAACACTCTCCCAACAGCTATATTCCCTTCCCATCCATTACTGTTGTGTCTATTCCCCTCCCCACAATGATCTGTTGTCACTCTCCATTTCATTACCTGTGTATTTTAGGTTGTAAGATCCCAGGGACCTTACGTCCGTACATGTCTGTAAAGCACCAGTGGCACAGCAGTAGTGCTATACAAACAACAACCCATACTATCAGAACAATAACTTTATTTCTATTATTATAGGAAGAGAGGTCCAGAAGTGGAATAGCATGGAAATTTCAAATTAAGACTCAGGTATGTTGCTGGAGATTGATGTTAGAAGTATGCAAATTGCCTGCCTGCACTATGGCTCATGACTTTCAGAACAATTAAATCTATTCAAACATCTTGAAGAAAAAAGAATTATGTAAACCAAAAAATAAGAATATATGAGCAAGTTTGATGAATATTTTTTTTGCCTTTATCATTCTCTCTTTCTGTTTCTTCTCCATCTCTTTTTTCTGAATTCTCTGTTTGTTTACTGAGGGGGGAAGCTGGAGGAGAAAAGAAAAAGAAAAAGTTTAAATCAGGAATGGTGTATTGGATTTGCTCTGGTGAAGTTTAGTAATGGATGGGATCCCATCTATTACCATGAATGGCACCAGATCCCTGCTCACTACAAAAGGGAGAGGGTGGGGTATCTCAGGATCAGTTTACTACAATATTTGATAAACAAGATATTAAAATCTGGTTGATATTTGGATCCAAAGGTCCTTCTACCCAGGCAAAATTCAGATTTGTCAATGCTTATCATGAAAAAATCAAGACAAAAATGTGAACCATAGTACAAGATTCAGGGGAGCAAGATCATTATCACCATTGCACAGAAAAGACCTTAGACAGACCAAGTCATCCTCAAACGATCAGAGTGAGAGCCTTGAACTTCTCCTGTCCCAATCTTGTCAATTCTAGCTCCTCTATTGTCCCCCTTGTCAGTCATTCTCTTCTTTTGAACAACAACCCAGCCAACTCTTTTTACTTTTCCCTCTCCATACTGCTGCTGTCTATTGACCAGCTGACTCCCCTGCATCCACCTTCCCCACTGACTTCAACTCCTAGCTTTCATTCCTCCTCACACTGGAATCCCCTACTCTCATATTTGGTTACTTTAATTTCCATACTCATGTCCCAGCTCACCTTTCAGCCTCCTGCCTTCTTGCCCTCACTTCTTTGTTTGACTTGCACCTATGGATCGACTCCCTTACTCATCAAAATGGCCAGTCTCTGTTCCCTCTCTCTTCCTTTCCCCCCTTATCCCCAGTACATTCTCCCCCGTCACAGACTGTGAAACACTACCTGTCTTCCTTTTCCAACCTCTCTTTCTGCCCAAAGGACCCCATACCTTTATTATTCTAACCTCTGTTGCCCAGCTCTCATGCTGTCACCCCTTCTCTCACTCTTTTCAACATCTCACTCTCATCAGTTTCCTTTCCCTCCCTATATAAACATACTTTTATCTTCTCCATCTTAAAATACTTGACCCTTTCTCCCACTCATACTATTACCCAACATCTCTTCTCCCCTTCATCTCCAGATACACTGAACGTGTTGTCCACAACTGCTGTCTGGAGCTTCTTTCTTCCAATTCCATTCTTGGTTCTTCTCAAGTCTGGTTTCCACCCTCATTAAAGGCAAAAGGACTTAGACTCTCAATGTTTATGTCACTTTTGAAAATGGGACTTAGGCATTTTTTATAATTTCACGCATATTTCAGGATGTATGTTTGCTCTTGCTTAAATCAAAGGGACTAAACTATAACAAGTATCATACCTAAGGGAGACTGTGTATTCTTAGAATAGGCATACACTATCCTGCTTAACATTTGTCATTTATTTTTTATTGGTATTCTAACTCTAATAAACAACGTTTTATGTAAGATAATTTTAGTATTGGCTGTTATTTTATAATAAGGGGCCTGATTCATTCCATTACCCTAGTGTTACTCCACTGACTTCAGTGGATTTATACCAGCATAAAATGAATGTAGTAGGCTGAAGAATCAAGCCCAAGGAATCCAAGCTGTTCTCAGAGAAAAGAAAAACAAATCGCAGGATTCAGATCAGCCTATTTAGCACCAGAGGAAACCACCTAAACACACATCAAAGGCATGAGAATTAGAAGCCTATGTCCAAAATGAAATTTTCATTTCATTTTCATTTGAGTAACAAAGAAAGACTAAAGACCAAAGGGATGCCAAAGACTGGTGATCGAAAGACACCTTCTATTTTGTAAATTTATTATTCATTTTGCACATTCCTACAGCTAATCTAAGGCCCATTAACACATCCAGAAAACTGGGCCACTTATGGTGCAGAGAGCAGGATTCTTGTACACGTCAGCCTGTTGTTCATTCAGAAGTATTAAACCAGCAAGTAGAGTGGTAGGATGCGGATATTTGAATTGTATGGCCCTGAACCAAAATAGAGCTAATAGGTCTAATTTAAGGACTCACAACTGAAAATTGTGTTTGTTATATAAAGGGGCCTATTCCAATATGTTATGACATGCTAGAAGTGTTTTTAAATAAACTGAGTAATAATAAAATACCAAATTTAGCAACCTTAAGATACAATATTCAACTGTATGTAGTTATCTTACCAGAACATTCCGCATTTTGAGGTTTCCACTGTTGAAAAACAGAAGGAATTTATGCAAAGCACAGTCCCAAATAATTTTTTTGCATAGTTCTTTTTCTGACCACAGCTGCCTTTATTCATCCTAGTTATTCATTAGATCTGTCCAGGGAATTTCTTGGGACATCAGACAATTCTGGGTACCTTTACCCATACCTACTTCCCATCTGTGTCATTATTTCATTCCTAAAGCTCTCAGTCTATTGGGGCAAGGCAAGCTCCAGGTCAAAAAGCTACCTTTATATCAGTATTTATCTAATTTGTCACTACCTCTGTCTGTCCCATTTCTCTTTCCTCCCCCAAACTCTGATCCCTTTACCGCTATCAAACATGTTTAATAAATCTTAATTCTTTAAGTGATATTGTTTTCCTCCTCTGGTGCTACTCCTGACATTTCTTCTTGTTGGTGCTTTGTTTCCCACTCTATCCCTGACTGGATGACTCCCAAACCCACAATGAGCTTTCAAGAAAGCCACCAAACACCTCCATTGTGAACACTAGTTTGAATACATATTTACATAAGTATGCTCCTCAGTTTCTTGTTTGATGAACTTTCTTACAAACCAAAATTGGCTTGGATAAACATTTAACAAAAGAAAATTTAAGTAGTTTTGAGCAACATCAAAGTGAATTTGATTTTATTAAATGAATGTTCATGAATACTTTTTTTGCAACGTTTTCCTTGTTCTATACTCCTCAATAAGGATACATACCTGATAATATTCAAAGTTGCTCTTTAAAGAATCTGTGGAGTCCTGAAAAGGAAAAAAAAACTTTTTAAAAATACACATATATCTCTGGCCAATAGAAAAATGTGGTCTTATTTGTGAATATTTTTTCTAGAATTCTCCATTTCTGGTAATCTTTACAATATGCATATTCTCATTTCTCCTATTAATTGGAGGCAGACCAGATCTGGATGTAAGCCAGGCTTAGGACAACTCCCCAAAAAGAATTCTTCAGAACTATAGTTTCCAAAACTGAAAAATACTAACTATATAAAAGTTAACAAGTCACCTCAAGCCATTTGCAATAGAGCCAAGGAAAGAAATATAAGTATTTCCTTGAAGGAAATGGTTCTCCATTTCAAGTTACTCAGCAAATAAGTAATGGCCAGAAAAACTCTGGATACAATACAATGCTCCAAGGGAAGGCCACACTGTCAGATACGGAAGGTTCAAGAAAGCACGTTCACTTGCATGATCAAATTTTCAATTCTTTGTTTTTCTTTTGTCCAACAGTCTTTAAAGTGAGATGTAGAAAGCACTTGTAAAGTGTAAAAACAATGAAGAATCCTTGTGGCACCTTAGAGACTAACAACTTTATAGTCTCCAAGGTGCCACAAGGACTCCTCGTTGTATTTGCTGCTACAGACTAACACGGCTACCACTCTGAAACTTGTAAAGTGTGGTAAGCCAGAGCACCCTCTGGACTTTTACTGTGCAGCAGCAGTGTGCACACAGGATGTTGCACTGCACAGCAAAACTAGTGCACTGCAGATTCACACCCTAGCTTGCCACACAGTAATGTCATGTGTAGACAAGCCCTAAGTCTGCTCCTCTCAAGTCTTTGAATGGGAGTTAAGCTGAATTTCTACACATTCACTTTCAAACCCAGGTTCTGGAACAGGTAAAGGCATAACTATGGCATCTGACACCTGATGAGGAGTCCTTCCTTGAACTAGACAGTTATTCACGTAAGGATTTTTTTAGATGTGCAGTAATGACTGTTACAACCTTGTTAAAAGCCCTCAGTGCAGTCGATAGCTGGAAGGCCTACCACAAACCTTAGGTACCTCTGGTGCTATGGAATTATGCATATATGAAAGTACACATTTTGGAAATCAAGAGATGCAAACTAGTACCCTGGATCCAGAGAGGGAACTATCCTGAACTTCAACTTGCATATGAATCTGTTGAGCTTTCTTAAGTCCCAGATGGGCCATCATCTTTCTTTCCTCTTTGGAATAAGGAAGTATTTGCTGTAAAACCCTTTTGCTGGTAATTTAAAGGTACCCTTTCTATAACTCCAAGAGAAAGAAGCGAGAGGACCTCCTGGTGTAATAGGTCCTCATGAGATGCGTGCCTGGAAAGGGCCAGGGAAGGTGGGATGGGAATAGGCACACTGTGAAACTGGATAGAATATCCTATTGTAATAATATCATGACCCATTGGTTTGGAGTTATGGAGGACCAGGCATGCCTGAAAAGGGGCAAATGGTCACAAAGGAAGGGTTGGTGG